CATGAGTCAGACTCACGTTATTTTTTGGCATCCAGCTTGATTCACTGGTACTGGTAGGATCAATATTTACATAATGTTGCTGCACAAACCCAAAAGGACAGCCCTTGGGCATTCTGAACTACATAGTCTTTCCATTTAAAAGTAATTTCTATTCAGAGAAAACTAATTCGCGCATTTGAGCTTCAGGTGGTTAGCTCTAAATCCTTGGGAGTAGTAGGCAGATTATGACCCAAAGCAATTTCCAAGGAATTTTATTTATTATCCAGAATAAGAAAGTCAAAAAGAGTAGGGACCAGCAGTTAGCATAATGGCTATGTCACTGGACTCCCATGTAGTCGACTGCAGTTCAAGTCCCAGAACCAGTGGCTTAAAACTCATGCCGGGTGTGTGTGCGTGGGTGCTCAAGATCCCAAGAGGAGAATGGAGAAGGGATTGCGGCAGTGCCATTCCCTTTGGGGGTGATTTCTCGCAGTCTCTCTGTGTCTGTCTGGCAAGTGCACGCATCCTATAGCAAAAGCCTCCCCCCCTAAAAAAAGAGCATGATTAAGTTCCAAGACCTATAAAAAGTGTCAACTGTGCACAAGATTTCAGATGTGAAATCAGCAATGGTTTTAGATGAGGCTACTTCTGATGTCATTATATCCATCCTTCTTCTGCCAAAAGATACCCCTTTCCATTCTCTCTTGCCCTTTACCTTTACTTAATCCTGGGTCTTTCCTTTTATCTTTGTTTCCATTCATTCGTTCCCTATTCATTTATTCAGAATATATTTACTAAGTACCTACTATGTGCCAGCAACTGTTCAGGACAGTGTTGGTGCAAAGGTGAACAAGAAACAACCTATGCTCTTATAAAACTTACATTTCAGTGAGCTAATAATAATAATTAAGTGAAGGGCCAGCAGACGGCATTGTGTTTAAAATGATGGACTCCCATATGGCCAACCATGGTTCAAGTACCAGACCTGGAGACTTGAAACTCATGTGTGTGTGTGTGTGTGTGTGTGTGTGTGTGTGTGTGTGGAGGTACAACATCGCAGGAGAAGGGATTGTAGCATGGCCTTCCCCCCTGGGGGGATGATTTCTCGCTTTCTGTCTCTCTGTCTCTCTGTCTTTCTGGTGAGCACACGCACCCTATAGCAAAAAAATCTGTCAAGAAATTTTTTTTTTAAATGTTAAAAAATGGAGATAACACTTCAAAGTTAAGCTGCCATTAGATTGCACAGGAATTTAAACAGTTATGGTAAATAATATGATATCCTACTGCTATGGTTTGAGTGTCCCCACCATAACTTATGTTAAAATCTGATACCCAGTGAGGCAGTATTGAAAAGTAGGGCCTTTCAAAGGAGAAGTATTTGAGACATGGGGTCAGATCCTTCAAAAATAAGTTAATCCTATTTCCCAGGAGGGAATGAATTTTCAACAACTAGTTCCCCCCAAGAGTAAGCTGTTACAAAGCAAGCTGACTGCTGGAGTGTCTCTCTTTTGTATGTACCTGCTAGCCTGTCAGCTTTTCTACCATGGCGTGAGGCAGCATGTGGCCCTCATTGGAGCTGATGCCATGCTTTTAGACTTTCTGGGTACACGAATCATAGCCATGGGGGCCAGATGGTGGCACAACAGTAAAATACAATGCTCTGGGAGGCAGATAAGTATAAAGGTTTGGGTTTCACCTCCAGAGACCTTTTTGTGTAAGCTAAGTGAGCATGTGCCCTTGATCCAGTGCTGGCTAAGGCTAGGGGTGGATATCATTACCCTGGTTGGAAAGCTTTTCTCTCTTTTTCTCTCACTCCTCTCTCTCTGTCACTCATAGAAGAAATGAATAATGATTCAAAAATTACCTTGTCTCAAGTATTTGGTTAAAGCAATACTAAACCAACTAAAACACCTACCTAATAGCCATAAATTCTTCTTCCTTGCTAATAGAACCCTAGTTTTGTTTGGGTGACAATATATCCAGTTTCATGAAATAAGTCACCTTTTTTTGGAGAGGTTTTTAGTCGATGTTGTTATAGGGTGCATGCACTCGCCAGAAAGACAGAGACAGAAAGTGAGAAATCACCCCCCAGGGGGATAGCCAAGCCACAATCCCTTTTCCTCCATTTTCTTCTTGGGATCTTGGACACACACACACATGCACCCTGCATGAGTTTAAGCCACCGAGTCTGGGACTCAAACCACGGTCAACTACATGGGAGTCCAGCAGCATAGCCATTATGCCAACTGCTGGTCCCAATAAATCACAATTTATTTAAGCCAGTTCTAGACAAAGATATAAAAGAAAGTCACTAGAAGCTCCTAAAAACTATTTTTATTCTTTTTTTTTTTTTGGAGAGGTTTTTGCTATACGGCGCGTGCGCTCGCCAGACAGAGAGAGACATAGAGACAGAAAGTGAGAAATCACCCCCCAGGGGGGATGGTCACGCTGCAATCCCTTCTCCTCCATTCTCCTCTCGGGATCTTGGTCACGCACGCACACGTGCCTGGCGTGAGTTTTAAGCCACCGGGTCCGGGACGCGAACCGCGGTCAACTACATGGGAGCCCAGCGACATAGCCATTACACTAACTTCTGGTTCCCAAAACTATTTTTATTCTTGATACAAGAGTCACAAGGGAATAAAGTGGCTTTGCTTTCTTATCTTCCTTCCTGCTTTAGTTCCTGTCATAGTTTGATGAGATGTCCAGAACTATAGCAACCATCCTCTAAGTATGACATAACAAGCCAAAAGATGAAAGTCAGCAGATTTAAGATTGTGGAGAGAAAGGACAGAGAAAAATATGAGTCCTTAATGACATCACCAAAGTGCTATCTGAGACCCCCTACCTTCATCCTTTTTGTTAAGCAGACAATACACATCCTCACGGATTGTCTTTTAGTTTAGGTTTCGATTATTTGCATTGAAAGCACATAACTGATATAGTGTCATATGACATAACCTAATTTATGTAGTTTAAAAGAATCTCTCTGACAACTGTACAGAGATTGTAAGGAGCAAGAATGGAACAAGAACATGGAAGACTACAGTACTAGCCCTGAGAAGGCTCACAGTGTCCTGGTATAGAGAGGAAGTTGGAGATTGGACTAGATTGCTCAAATCCCTTACATAAAACAGCACAGTACTTGCATATAACCTATACACATACTCCTGTATACTTTTAATCATCTCTAGATTACTTATAAAACCTAATACAGGGACCAGCAGATGGCATAATGGTTACGTAGTTGACTCATATGTAGTCGACTGCAATTTGAGTCCCAGACCCGGGGACTTAAACTCACATTGGGTACATGTGTATGTGTGCCCAAGATCCTGAGAGGGGAATGGAGAAGGGATTGTAGCATGGCCATCCCCCTCTTTCTGTCTCTGTCCCTCTCTGTCTTTCTGATGAGCGCATGCGCCCTACAGCAAAAACTGCTCTTCCAAAAACAAAACAAAACAAAACAAAAAACCTAATGCAATCTAATTCTGCAACTTGTTTTGTTTTAAATTTTGTTTTAATCTGCTACAGGGGCTTGTGTGCTTACCTAAGACACACAGAGAGGAGCTAGGGAAAGTGAGAAAGCCCCCCCCCCCCAAGAATATGGCCATCCCTCAATTCCTCTCCCCCTTTCTCTTCTAGGGATTTTGGGAATGCTCGCTGCTCGCACATGTACCTAGCATGTTTTTCAAGCCACCGGGTCTGGATATGAACCCTCCCAGTCAGCCATGTGGGATCCAGTCATGGAAATTATTACCAGGAAATTACCCAACAATTATTTTTGCACCAATACCCAAAGATTTATCTACAAAGATATTTTTGCTGCATTTTTTATTTTTGTGGTAAGAAAAATAATAAATATAATTATTTAATAAAGAAACTTACACGCCACCTGCCGGCCTCAGTCAATATTAAGTATTAACCAATCTTTGAAAGTTTGCCAAGCTAAGATTGAAAAGACACTGGGCCAGCAAATGATGTGATGGTTAAAAGCACTGAATTCCCACATGACTGACTGTGGTTTGTGTCCTGGACCTGGCAGCTTGCTTTCTCGCTTCTCCTTTCTCTCTGTCTCTCTCTGGCCAAATTAAAAAATATTAACAAATTAAGTAAATAAACAACTCTTTTTAAAAAAGATTGAAAAGACATTGTCTGGTTAATCCTATTTGGATCTCTAATTATAAGCAAGGCAGCAAGGCCTGGTTGTTAAATATGCAATAATTTTGGTATTGTTAATAAATTTTTTAAGGTTTATATTTAATCATTGTACATCTTTACAGCACATAATACAAATTTTCAAAACATACCTACATTGCATGTCAATCAAGTCAAAGATATTACCATACACATCCTCAACAGATAACTTTCCATTATTAAGTCTGCTAAGTGCTTTGTTTTTTTTAAAGTTAAGACTCCCTGGGCTGGGTCCTATTGAAGCTCCTTCTCACTGTGTGGCCATGGCAGAAAGGGTGGGTGGCTGGGTGGGTGGTGGCTTTGAGCATGAATGAGGGGATCCTCAGAGCCCAAGTGACCAGGATTACATGAGACAGTAAGACAACAGAAGTTCTCCCGGTACTTTTCACTATTGAAGTCGAGATCACTCCATTACTTTATCTTTGCTGTACTTCTCCTAGTCAGGTTTTGCAGAACGCTTGTTCCTTATAATTCGAAATAAGGGGGAAACTGGCTATGCTTTTTTAACATTGTCCCCCAACTCCCAATCTTGCCGTGGACCTACTAGTTTACAGGAAGATGCCCTTTTCAAACACCACACCAAGTGTACACTTGGCCCGCGCACGTCCCGGCGGCCAAGACCCACGGTTTACAGCGTTGGGAACACAACTATCTAACACTACCTCAAAAAGTGTTTCGCCATCGGCAGAGCTGAACGACTCCAAACCACGAGATTTGAGCCAGAACTCCAAACACAGCCCCTACACCCAGGACCCGGACGCGGCCCCGCCCCGGCCGGAAGTGACGTGCGATGTAGAGTACTACTTTTCCGCCGTCCGCCGGTGGTGCGGCCCAGCTAGTGCGGACTGTGCGTCGGCTGCGGCCCGCAGAGGGATTCTGGGTAACGGCCCCGGCCGGCAGGGGCTGGTGGCTCCGCGCAGCAGGTTCCACTCACGGCCAAGTCAGTTGGCGGTGGCGGTTGTAGGGCCGGGAGCTGCTGGACATGGAGCAGCCATGGCCGCCGCCGGGACCCCGGAGCCTCCCTCGGGCCGAGGGGGAGGCTGGGGCGTATAGATTTGGGTTCGGATCAAGGTTTATGTGTAGGGTTATGGTTAGGTTTAGGTCAAGCATTTGAGTTAGGGTTAAAGTAATGATATATTTCAGATTAGGGTTAGGGTGTGAGTTTAGGTTTATGATTAGATTTAGATTTAGCGTTAGTGTTTGAGTTAGAGTTCTGGTTATTTTAGGATTCGGGTACGGGTTAACGGGTATTGCTAGGCTTAGGGTTTCGTCTAGCATTTGAGTTAGGGTTAAAGTAATGATAAATTTCAGGTTAGGGTTAGGGTGTAAGTTCAGGGTTACAGTTAGATTTTGGTTTACTGTTAGTGTTAGAGATAGAGTCCTGGTTAGTTTAGCCGCCGGGACCCTGGAGCCTCCCTCGGGCCGAGGGTGAGGCTGAGGAAGAGAGTGACTTGGACGTGTCCCCCGGTTCTCCCAGCTGCCCGCAGCTGCCGGGCGGCGGCGCCCAGGTGAGACGGGCCCGTGTTCTGCGGGGGATGGGAGGTGCTGTCGCCAAGCCCCCTGTAGTTGGCGCGTCTTCTCTACCCTCTGTGCCCTTTTCTGCGCCCAGTTCACCCTGGGGGCCTGATGCCATCGGATGTCTTCGGAGGACGAGGGGCCGTCGTATTTTTCCACCTCCAGGCACACGGTTTCTTTCACCTTGGCTGATTCCTCCTCACCCTTAGGAGACGTTTCTTCTCCCCATCTTCCTGACAGCACCCAGGTTTGGGGCCGCTCACGCTCTTACATTGATCCTTTGTCCTCTTGTAAGTGCGTTTACCCGAACACTTTATACAGTGAAAGGAGCCAACATACTTGTGCACAGTGGATAGTTTTGAAACAGTGAATGGTCATAGTTGAACATGACAGTCCTGACATAAAGGTTTCACATATTTCACCCACGTTAACATCTGAGCAAATTCTGTAAACCTAGCTTTCTCCCATTCGCTTGACCATCTCGCCATGTTTTGTTTCTAGTTTTGCTTCAGGTCATTCACCAGAGAAAACATTTTGGCACGTATGTACCTTTTCCTTCAGATTGCCCCCTAATGCTGCTTGTGGTTTTCTCCCTCTGAAACTTACCCAAATGTGGCATGTCATTTAGGGTTCTTCTGAGTTCTATACTAGGGAGTGGCTACATACTCAACATCACTCTGTCTTGGTTTTTCTCCTAAACTGAGTATGTTTTGGAAGTATGAACATTAATAGGTTCAGCAAAACGGATTGTAAGTGTTCTCTTTCTAGGCTTTTTGCATAATGGGGTCCTTAAGACCATAACAGAATTAACAGCAGCTTTTCTTATATTCATTTAGAAAAACACTGCTACAAAGGCCACTGGGAGTGAGGTCCATGCAGAACAGGGCACAGAAGAGGATGGGGAGAGGGTGCATTCTAGGGGGCTTGACGTTTATGGAAATGAGGGATTTAAACCATTTGCCGGTAAGTGTAGAATCATCAGTTTTATGCCCAGCTACTGGGGTTAGTTGGCTTCACACAGAAAAATGCTGTTTCATAATCATAGGCTGTACTTCAGCCAGCTATTCACTGGGAACATGCAAGACATCTTTTAGAAGGGCAGAAGGAGAGTTGATGGGTCAATAGTCACCCACTAATCGTGGATCACTAGTGTCATCTTTATATACAAAATAGTTAAAAGTGTGTTACAGAGAGAGAGAGAAGAATGAACAGCAGCTATTGTCAATTTTGAAGACATATGGAGAGAAAAAAATGTTTCAGAAATTTCAGTGTATTGTGGTTAAATCACAGAAGTAACCTAAGATAAATCCTGACTTTTTTTTGAGAGGTTTTTGCTATAGGGTGCATGCGCTTACCAGAAATCCAGAGAGAAACAGAGAGACAGAAAGTGAGAAGTCCCCCCCCCCCCCCCCTGGGGGATGGCCACTCTGCAATCCCTTCTCCTTCATTCTCCTCTCAGGATCTTGCTGGCCCCGTGATATGTATATATTTTTTTAAAGGAGATTTTTGTTGTAACATGCATGCACTTGCAGGTGACACAGAGAGATAATAAAAAAATCACTCCCTGGGGTGATGGCCACACCACAATCCTTTTTCTTCCATTCTCCTCCCAGGGTTTTGGACACACATGCCCATTCACCTGGCCCAAGTTTCAAGTTGCCAGGTCCTGGATTAGGACCATGGTCGACCATGTGGGTGTCCAGCACCATAACCATTACACTACCTGCTGGCCCCTAAACCCTGAATTTATATATATATACACACACACACACATAGTGTATTAACTTTTTACTTGTATATTTATAAACTTGTAATTTACCTGAAGGAGATTTTAGAAATGGGTAGGCTTATCTCTTTCATTAAATTTCCTTAAGGCCATATAACTGGTTAATGGCAGAGTTAAAACTAGAATCCATTTAGGACTCCTAGTCCAGTTTTTTTTTCTCCTACCAATTGCACTGTCTATCCTGTGAAGTACTCCAAACAATTATTTGGTCAAAACTACCCCTTCACTAGTATTAAAATTTGGAGGGATTACAGATTGTAAGTTTATATGTATATTACAAACCTACTTATTTTGCTAACTTTAGGATTTAAATTTTGATTCGATTCCTGGACCTAGCAGCTTGCTTTCTCATTTTTTTTCTCTCTCTCTCCCTTTGTCTCAATCTGGCCAAATTAAAATAAATAAATAAAGTTAAATAAAACAATTCTTTAAACAAAAAATTTGGGATGAGTGTTTTTTAATGTAAATATGGATAAGTAGCCTTCAGTGCTATCAGTTTTTTTTTTTTAATTTATTTTCATTAAAATGTCCCACTAATTATCAGTATGTTCATAAACTAAAATATAACCTACTTATATGAACATGTGTATACATGTTGGATAGTTTGCCCAAATGGCCAGATATTGTCTGGGAAGTTTGTAGAGAAGAATTTAAACACAAATTATTTCTAGAATTTGGTTTAATTTGAGAAATGAATGCCTACACATTGAAAATACACACTATTTCCATTTATCCGTATTGCCATTCTTGGTATATTATTGTCTTCTTACAAAATAAGTTTTATAGTTTCATTTCTCTTTGTTTCCTAGTCCCATTTTAAGCATAGCTGGTTCACAGTTGTTCTTGCTCCTATTCAAAGATAGCAAAAAGTAAAAAAGAAATATTTTACTTACTTAGAGATACAGCATGTGGTACCTGGGCTGCAAACCTGCTGGATAAATAAATAAAACATCTGAAGAGCATCAGTGTCCACATTTGCCCTAGTAGAAATCTGAGCTTGCTGGAATTCAGAATTCTTTACCACTACCCATCTGTTCTAAGAAGTGGAGATTCATGTATTCATCTAATATTTATTGAACTCTAGCCTCTGAAGAAGTTGATAGTTTAGTAAACACGTAGGTACAGTATTGTGTAAAAAATTAAAAAAGCACACACAATAGAAATATGCATATCTTGGGTGGGAAGAGAATGTATAAGAAAAAGCATCAGGGGTGCCAGAATCTGGAGTGAAGATAAGAAATAAGGAGAAGTGCCAAACTGAAGAGGAGACGGGATGGGAAGTCAGCAGACAGGAAAAGTAACTAGAACTGAGTTGGAGAGATAATAGGAAATAACATCATGAAGGACCGTGATGTTTACACTTTATCCCAGGACTCTAAGAATAAATAACATGATCAGATTTGTTTTTTGGAAAGGTCACTTTAGTCTGGTGGAGTGGAGAATGGTTTGGAACAAGGCAGGCAGTATTTGTGTAATTCAGGTGTAGAACCATAAGTGATGCAGATGTGGACACCAAGTGGAGTAAGTACTTTGAAATTGATTATATTTGGCTAAAAAATCATAAAGGATATACCTTTAGCTTCTGTTTTGTAGAGGCAAGGAATATAAGGAACTAAGCACTTATCACAGCACTTTATTGTACAGTGATTTAAGTCAATGTTAATTACTACTGCTTCTGAGTAGAACAAAGTCATGGGGGGTGGGCCAGTTAACACTTTTTATTTTATTTTATTTTATTTTTTTTTGAGAGACAGATTTTTGCTCTGTGCACTCGCCAGAGAGATAGAAAGCAAGAAATCACTCCCCAGGGGGTATGGCCATGCCACAGTCCCTTCTCCTCCATTCTCCTCTTGGCATCTTGGGGACTCGCACACACATGCCCAGCATGAGTTTAAAGCCACTGGGTCTGGGACTTGAACCATGATTGACTATGTAACCATTATGCCATCTGCTGGTCCCAACACTAATTTTTTTTTATCATTTTGCCTCTTTCGATTAGGAGTGGGTTAGAGGATTATCTGTCTGATATAATCAGTTATGAATAAAATCTTCTAATGAGAAATTCTCACATTACCAAGATTAGGATAATACAAAAAGAAAATAGAAACCAACAAATGATTGCTTCTGTTAGGTCATCATGAAAGTTATGTATTTTCCTATGTTTTCTATGCAAAAATGTATACTTTCCCAGTGATTCAATAATTAAAGGAGGTTCCTTGCAATGCAGGACTTACAGAACAATACTTTAGAGGTCTGATTTTCAGCATGTTGAATATTAAGGTAATGAACTAGATCTAAGTTTTATTCTTATTCTGCTGATTTGGGATTATGAAGACTATAAAGCAAATATTGAGCACCAGCTATATGCAAGATATTGTAATCCCAGGCTTTTTGTTGCTGCTAGTTCTTGGAAGAGGGGCACAGATTAACAAAACAAGCTTTGAGTCTAGAAACAGCCTATAATACAAAAATTAACTGCAGGCACAGACTGTAGGATAGGCTATGTACTAAAAACATTATACAGAAACCCCTTGTAATAAAAAGAAATTGAACTGTTCTGTGGAAACATATTCATTGCCGCCTTCATTTCTTATAAATACTGCCTTTTCATCCAGATGTATGGTCATGGGATTGAACTGGCTTGCCAAAAGGAGAAAGAGTTCGTGAAGAGCTCTGTGGCATGCAAATGGAATCTCGCTGAAGCTCAGCAGAAACTTGGTAGTTTAGCACTGCATAATTCTGAGTCCTTGGATCAGGAACATGCCAAAGCACAAACAGCAGTATCAGAACTGAGGCAACGGGAAGAAGAATGGCGACAGAAAGAAGAGGCTCTAGTGCAAAGAGAGAGGATGTGTCTGTGGAACGTGGATGCCATTAGCAAGGATGTTTTTAATAAGGTATGACCTTATACAGGATTGTAATGAGAGGATAAAAATTGAAGTGTTTTTACAAGCTACTAGTCCATAACTGGTAGTAAAGCAGCAGAATCCTGTAAACAGTGTGCAAATTGATGATTTATGAAAAGCGCTTAGTACAGAAACCTGTATCCTTACTAGTAGCAGGTTTGAGTGGTCCTCAGTACAAGTATGTGGCTATAGCATAGCACACAGAATGTAAGTGTAGGCTCTGGAGTCAAACACTTAAATCTCAGCTTTCTCACATGCAAGTGTAGGCTCTAGAATCAGACTGCCTCAAATCTCAGCTTTGTCACATGCCAGCTTTGTTACCTCGGGCAAGTCACTTCATATCTCTAACCCTTGGTTTCTTCACCGATGTAGGGTAGCTTTAAAGATTCCATTAGGTGATGTCTTAAACGGGTGGTAATATGAGGCCTAGCATATGGTAAAGTTCAGAGATCATGTTCTTTCTGATGTTGACGTGTCAGCTTGTTACCAGTTTTGTAAAACAAATGTTTAGTTATTAGATTCATAAAAGTCTTTCACTGTTTATTTCACTGTGTATTTAGGTGGTAATCTGAATTTAGCGTTACAAGCATTAGTAATGAAAGGACTTTTTGGTAAGCTTTTGCCATAGGGTATTTGTACTAGTTGGAGAGAGATGGGGTGGGGGGATTGGTGGTGTGTGTGTGTACGTGCATGCATTGTCTGTGTGTGTGATATCACCCTCCAGAAGAATGGCCATGCCGCTGTCCCTTTTCCTCCATTCTCCTCTCAGGATTTTGGGCATACACATACATGTGCCCCGTGTTTTTCAAGCCAGTGGATCTGGGACTCAAACCACATAGTTGGCCATGTGAGGTTCAACTGCCTTCACGACTACACCAACAGCTGGCCCAGAGTGTGTCTTCTAAAGTGTTATTTTCTTACTTTTTTTTTTTTAGAGAGGTTTTTGCTATAAAGCACATGCACTCGCCAGACAGTCAGACAGAGACAGAGAGATAGAAAGCAAGAAATCACCCCCCGGGGGGATGACCACGCCGCAATCCCTTCTCCTCCATTCTCCTCTCGGGATCTTGGGCATGCACACACACACGCCCGGCATGAGTTTAAGCCACCAGGTCCAGGACTCGAACCACGGTCAACTACATGGGAGTTCAGCGACATAGCCATTACACTAACTGCTGGTCCCAGTGTGATTTTATTTCTACTCAGCATTTATACCTCTAAACTATGTAAGATACTTTTTCTCCCAGAGGAAATGGTCAAAACAATGATTTTTTTTTTTATGAAATTAATGTCTACTCTTTTAATAAAGTAGTCACAAAGAAAGTATTTTCATTTTTTCTTTGCTTTTGTTTGTTTAAACTTAGGTTCTAAAATAGTCTATATACTACAAATTATTAGGAATATCTTTATATTTCATTCACTTGCTCAAAACTGTATATTGGTTTTATCTGGGAGCTCGAGACCTGAGAGGACAGGTCTAGATCTGTGCTGTCCTACCTGCTCGCCACTAGCCATGTGTGCTATGGATTGCTTGAAATGTGGCTCATCCAAGTGAGATGAGCTGTAAGCATGAAACACACGCTACATCCCATTGATATTTTTGTTGTTGTTTACATGTTGAAATGATAATATATTGTATATGTTAGACTATATGAAATAGGTTATTAATGTTTTCTGTGTCTTTTTGCTGTTTAGTGTGGGTAATAGAAAACTTTAAGTGACTTATTATATTTCTATTGGGCAGTGCTTGTCTAGGTAGAGGAAAATTTAAAGGAAAGAAATACTTGTATTTTCAAATATGTAAACTGTGTGCTTCCTGATTGTAAATTGGCAGGTAGCTGGTTTGCAGTTTTCATTTTTGGCAGTGATGATATCAGGGTATAAATGCAATCACAGAATGTTCCGAGCAGCTCTTCTGCCAGGGTTTCTGGCTAGATAAAAATTTCATTCTTGGTCTGCTTTATGATTTTTTAACTGAAAATAAGCACTTCTTTCATAAAAATTTTACGTCTTTAATTGAAATCTATATTTGACTTTAAAGATCAAAATTTTCATCCTCTCTTAAGAAAAGTTTATTAGAAATGCAACACAAGTCTATTTTTACTTTGTCTTATCAAGGAATCTACAGTAAATATACTTTGTTTTCTGAGTTTTTTTTTTTTTTTTTATCTTT